AAACGTGCTTTCTAGAGAGTACCATATTATTGATCAGTTTGTGACGCGTGCGCGGTCTTTCGTTCAGAGAACCAGCGGGTTGAATTTTAGAGATCAAACGATGTTCTCGACACGTGTCTACTTTTTTATACTGCGGAAATTACGTTACGTGTTATGAGAAGTTTGAATTATTTTTTAGAAATTTCCTCCAATAATGTAAATGTCTAATAAGTATTTTTTGCTAATTTCTAAGATTGTTATGGCAACATAAGAAATTTAGTATCGTAAATTCTACGCTTGGTGTAATAAAATTTTACACTTTATTCAATATAACCTTTATTTTTTTTTTAATTTACACGTTTACTAGAAATTAGATTATTTAATTTGGATTTTTTTTTCTGACCGTTCGAAACGTTTAAAAGATCCACATGTACGGGACAGTCTGAGATGTTTTTTCGTCCAAATATCATAGTTAGGCCCAGCTACCGTCAACTCTCTATTTATTCATACCTTTGAAAAGTGACAAAACCAAGCAACAACCTTTATATCACGAATCGTCCGGAAAACTACCACAGCCGCACAGAAGACCGGAAGTGGAAATATTATACTTTTCGCGTCATGTATGATGAGTTAAGTAGCCGGGGCTCGCTTTTTTGAGGTCGCAACGCTTCTGGAATACTGCAAATGTTGAAGATGTCCATGGGCGGTGGTAATCATTTGACAACAAGTGAACCGCCTGCTCGATTACAATTTTCCACATAAAAAAGATTTACGCAATAGCTAACAGTATCTTGAAGTCCTACTATATATGTATTGGTGTGCTTGATAGTAAAAAGTAAAGTAACAGCCTATACATGTCCCACTGTTGGGCAAAGGCCTCCTCTATACAGATGGTATCAGGGCATAGTCCACCACGCGGCCCCACTGCGGATTGGCGGACTTCACATATCTTCGAAATATATATTTTTTTGTTATTATTTCGAAAATATGCAGGTTTCCTCACGATGTTTTCCTTCACCGCAGAGCACGTGATAAGTCAGCCTTAAAGTTAAAAACTTCATTGGTGCCGGCACCGGGGATCGAACTCAGGTTGCTCGAGTATATTGAATTAAAGGCGAGCGCCCGGACACTGAGCTATCACGGCCCTTACCTTGATAGTAAAATAAAAACAATTAGTTATTTCATCCCAAGCTTTTACCGTCCAACCACCTTCTCTATTTAAATTAAGAAGTTTTTTTTATTTCAATATCCTTGCGAACTGTCCTAGAAGGGAGTCGGTGTTCTTTAGCAGGAATGTTCTGTTTTTCGTATGTAGAGGTTCGGGCGGTCTATTATATGGTGAGCTCTATTGTAAGCCAGAACTAAACTAAAAATCTTGTCACGATTCTTTCGCCATTTAGAAGACATTTAAGGGACATTTAGAGGACAGAAATACACAAACTATCTACATGTATAAAGATATTCACACAATTTCGACACTGATATATTTTTATAATTTAAAAAATTAGAAACGAAAGAATTAGAATAAAAAACTTATATCTTGCTGACAATGAGACAATGTTCAGTTTTGTCATCCGGTCTTTATTTACATTTTACATGTTTTCCGATAGAAGACATCACCTTAATTGTTGGAAAAAAGCTGAAAGAGTATAAATATGTTTGTAGAATACACATTACTTGTCAGACAGCCTCAAATCTGTCTATTTATCGTGTAGGGAGGAATTCTACATACATCTTACTTGTCGCATTGGCTACATGAGTACATGCGCGGCCCTACCCACTGAGGAGGGCCTCTAACCCATGGGTTCTGGCTAGCCACCCGGTTCTGCGTTCGATGAAGCTTTTATAGTCTAAGGACTGAAAGCGTGACATCAGCTATACAAATACAAATCTACATACAAGTGAAAGGTGCGGCAATGGGTATCTCCTATTTGACTGATGTTTTATGGAAGTTAGTCTTCCAGATTTTACACTGCACCCACAGGATTTTACAAGCGGTATATAGATGACACCTTTACAATAGTACCACCAATATACTCGTATTAAACACCTAAACTGCACAAATCCTGAAAAAACATTTACTTTAGAATTGGGGGAATCTTTTCATTATTTATCTTTTTAATTATTTTATCTTTTCTGAATGTTTTAGTGACTCGCACTGTAATAACACCTTGAGCCATATAGTGTATAGAAATGTGTCCCGTACAAATAAATATTTATATGGTTAATCTCACCACCACCTTTCACAGCTAGCTAACGTGGGTAGATAGTAGTTTGTTTCAGAGAGCACGAGGAATCTATGACAATGAATACCTGGCGGCTAAGCTAAAGAATGTGGAACTAGTCGTGCGTGACAACGAGCTCCGATTCCGAAGCCTGCGTCACAGCGAACGAGTGAAGCCAGCCACTGTCGACCTGTTGTGTAACGACTTAAGTTAGTGGAGTCAGAAGATTGGCTACACTTTAAACGAAACTCAGTCATGTTCAGCGACCATCTCAAGTCCAGTGGATCTGTAAAGGCCTCCTCAAGGCCAACTAAAGGACGATCCATTAAAAAAAGTGACCATTAACCATGTAAAGTCGAAACTTCGTGAATAAAAAATAAAGCCAGTTAAAATCCATAAATTTAGTTTTATTTGACAATAAACTTTTAAACTAAAATAATGATCCTTTGTAAAATAGCCATTTTTCAATATTCAATACAGTAAGCATTTCTTTAAAAGTATAAAATGTATTCGTCACCTACTTTTTTAATTTCAGTAAATTGAACACAGTTTTATATTACAATAATTTCTTGTATTGATGCTAACCTTAAACTTGTGAAAACCCATTTAACGTAGTTCATCGCATAACTTTTTTACTTAGCGCCTTTTCAAACAATTTACAGCATGACGGTATTCTAGAGACACGAATAAGTTTATAGTTTTGCTGACTCAACGGTACACGTACGGGGAACTAAGAGGCAAACGCTTGCCTCTCCGTTCAGTACTCTACAGAAATCAGAGTCCAAATTCCTGTGATAGCAGCAATAAACGACATCGACTTCTAGCATGTTCCACCAAGTACTTGATTGTCATGGCATTAAATTTATTGAATATTATGTGAAGTCTGCCATTCGGCAGAAGTATCGCTGTGCGAGTATGCTCCTATACCTTTATAAGGACAAATGGCCCATAAAAGTGTCGTAGTTTCAGGTTTGTAACTTAGATATTTCATAACATAAAACATTTCACTATATCAAAACGGATAGGAGTAGTTTATAAAAATTCGTAACAGTTCAAGTTGCTCACTTTTATCTGTATTGTAAACAGCCCAAGCAAATATTAAAGCTTAAAATTTATTCCACTTCATTTATCTAAAAGATATCTAAAATGAATGAAAGAGAGGTAACATTAGAAGATAACAAAATCACACTACATTAGGATAGTTAGGATAAATCTCTGCTGTTTCTTTTACAATGTGGACTATAGATCACTTTAAGTGGCAGCCTCTGTATAGAATGATATAACAAAAGCAACACTTAGAGAATTCGTTATCTGCCCCCAATCGGCTATCGATACCTCTAAAACATTTTGTGCAGTAAAACATTTCATCGCATTTTGTAAAAGTTTGGACGTATTACAAAAGATCACGTCGTGCTTTCAAAACCTCTTTGTATAAATCGTTGTTGATGGATCGTCTTTGAAATTATATTTCATATCTTTATATTTCTACTCCGTTTTGGTAACTCTCTATCTTGTAACTTTCTCCCTATGCAGACTTAACGTTTAACTTAACTTTAATTTGTTGTACGTACTTGCATTTCGTTACTTAATTCTCGCAACAATTTTCAAACTGCATTTCTTAAATAAATATTGTGTCCAAATCCCGTTATGCAACAGTAAGTATTTTTTGTTTTATTTAAACTCTTATTTGTTCCTGAAGAATGTTTATAAGGCATTTATACATTCAATTCGTGTCGTACATGGTTTCCGATGACTTTCGATTTTTGGATATAGATATCTATTCAGAATCCTTGAATGACTATAGGAATTCAATTATCCCTATTTTCTATGATAAATGATACATCAGGATTGTTAATGATTTCACCCAGGCCAATAAACAGTAAAAGCCAGTATTTTGTGTTTAAGTATTGCCAACTATCATTTGACTTTGAAAAGCTGCAATGTACAAGAGATTTCATTTTGAACATTTCATTTTTAACGAATATATTTTTACTGAAAAACTAACAGAGCTTTTTACTTTTGTTTACCTAAGTTCGATTACTATTTAAAATACTGTAACTAGTTTAATTTTCTATCAACAAGAGAATTTACTTTTCTTCTAAACTCACAATTATAATTATAGGTAGATACAATAAGCGTTTCTTAATAATTTTTGTAACGTGTAGTTACGGATGTCGATTACAGATGCGATGGAACCCTACTGTTAATGTTTAATACATCCTATACTTGACAAAAATATCGTATTTCATATAACGAAATTGATTTGTATCGGATCCCAGGATAAGCTCCCCTTTTAAAACTCGCTTAGGTATATAACGTACAATTTATCTCACTACAAAGGAACAAAGGCTCTGTTACAAATATATAAAACACTCGAAACGCCGAAAGCGCATAATGCCCATCATTATACATTCATGTGCTTTGTCGTTTACAGTATTTATTTTGATACGTGTCGAGGGGAGAAAACCCTCTTTTCGCTTGAAAGCTCCCGAAATTGTACAAAGAAGGCGTCGGGGCAAACGGGGCGGTGTCTGGATTCCCCGTCATTGGTCCTCCGGTGCCCCTCCAATGGGGGCTCCGCCCTGATGGAAATTCTTTTTGAATTGTTGTGCCGTCTGTGCAAACGATCATTCAGTCAACGGACGCCGCAGTGGCAGATAGTCGTGTGTTTGGGCTGAACTAGCGTAGCTGTGTCCGAGCGCTTAACTGATTCATCCGTTTGACTGACTCAGTCCGGATCACGCGCGAATAGTGATGTTAGTCAGTGTTGACGTGTAATAAAGTAGCGTGTTTGTTATGCACGCCATGAGTGACCCCGCTGCGTTGGCCGGCATGCTACCCTTCGACTCCATTGGGTTGTATGAACAGCCCAAACCCCGGTTTATCTTCAAGATGCCTCGCGTAGTGCCCGATCAAAAGGCTAAATTTGAATCGGACGACCTGTTCAAGCGACTGAGCCGAGAGAGCGAGGTAGGTCAATCGTATCTAGTTGCGTTTAATCTACCTTCTAACCTTTCGTAAACAGTTAAATATTATTCTTTTATAAATTCTGGAAATATTTTATAGTGCATTCAACTACATAATGAATAGTTACAATAGAACTTCATATTTCCGTTAAAATCATTTCTCATCAAACTATATTGGTCTAGCTGTTCCGACAGTTTTGAAAAAGAATATTCAAAACAATTTCTATATTATACACACATACCTAAATATTATTAAGATAATATTTCGATGAAGTTTTCTGTAAAACTATGGCAATACTCCGCTATCCAATATAAATAGTGAAGAATGTTTTTGCGTAAATTGTCATCAGGTAAGGTACACGGGATACCGCGACCGTCCTCCAGAGGAGCGGCAGATGCGCTTCACGAGCGGTTGCCGCGAGGGACACACTGAGATTGCCTTCATTTCAACGGGAACCAACTTGCAGCTCGTTTTCGATCATTCTCCTTACAACAACCGAGGATGCGACTTTCAAAAGGAAAATGGCAAGGTAAGTTTCCTCAAGCCTTGGTTTCGTCAATCGATTTTCAAAAATCTCCAAATACGAAAGTACACCAGACACATGCTGTTTAATTGTCATCCCTTTTTTTATCTTTACTTAGTAATACTTTTAACTTAGATTATAATTACTAAGTATAAGGCAGATATAGTGCAGTTTAAGATGTACGGTTATTAAATGAACTTAACAAATTGAATTGCCTAAATTTCGCCAAAGTTCGCTGTAACTCGCGCTCTTTTCCGTTATTACCTTATAACATGGTATTTTCCTCATTCAGTATTGACGAATCTATTAGTCATATATATGACCGTTATATATCTGAGTAAACATATAATGCCAAATAACGTTGTTATTAAAATAATATCATGAATAGATTGCTAAAATCGTTAACATGAACAGCATTATATTGAACATATATACAATTATATCTTCTTTCATAACAGGCTTTGATTTATATAGTCGTAATACTTTATGAACGACAATTGACAACTTTAAACATGTTTGTTTTCACTCATTAATTTTATACTTCAAAATCAATTCACAAAAACTATTCTCTTCAAGCAAGTACGTTATTGTAACCCTTAAAATAGCATGAATTTCAAAGATAATTTCCAGATTATTTTGTAACCTATGAAATACATTTAAATTAAATTATATTATGAATATTTGCGGTCAAGGAAAAACTAGATAAGATTTAGCATAAGTTGACAGTAAATTCGAAATACATCACAATTATCTACTAATTAAAGCTTATAAAAAAGGAACGAAGATTTAATTAAAGTTTTGCTTTTAGTTTTATCATTTACTTGTCTAATGGTAATAAGGTATTGATACGTCACTGGTCTATCTAAATCACTAACGCCTCGTTTCTGAAACATTGATCATCGTAGAATTCTAATCATCTCTGATCAGTTTAACAATCCTTTTGGCAACTCAAATAACATTTGTAAATCTATTTGACAGCTGATTAGTTGATTTGGACGATGATCAGTATTTCAGAAACCAGGCGTGAAAGTCTTAGTTAAGAGGGCAAGGATGGGTAACACAATTTCAAATCTGAACTGTGGTAGGGCTACGCAATATTCTTCGCTGTTGCACGAACAGGTAGGTCCCTCAGGGGAAGTACCACGACCTAACAGAAGACCGGCGGAAAGTGGAAGTCTGCGTTTCGTCAGGTAATTAAGGTAGGCGGGTTTGCCGGTACTTCTCTGTGCAGGTCTAGTTTAGTGAACCGCTGGTAGATTTTTTGTTGACGTTCAATAAGAGCTTATGTTAGGCCTATATTGAATAATACTTTGACTTTGAATGGACGGGGGTTATCACTTAACATAAGATGAACCGCCAGCTCCCTTGGCACCTCCTCGCATAAAAAATTAAATTAAATTAATTTTAAATTAAATTTAATTTTGAATTGCCATATTGCATTTGTGTACGGGCTATGACAATTAGATTCCGTTTTGGTACAGTAAAATATGCTGAGTGGATCGATAACAGCTTTCTCTCGCTACCTCATAAGGGTCCAAAGACGTTTATCTACGGTTACAACTGCGCCGCCGGCCTTTATACAATGGATCTAAAATGGACCAGACTACCTCACTCACCAGACGAAATGCGAAACTATTGTATTTCACTTTACGCCAGTCTTGTTTGAGTACATGGTACTTCCCCGGATGCTGTAGGTACTAAAGTTTTTGTACGTCGTGTACGTTGTGATCGTCCCTTGTCAGTACCACTTCCTCTATGATCTATGGGTCAATAAATTGGTATTAACAATTGGCGAAGGATGAAATTAGACGTTTGAAATTTGTAGAAGTATTATCACGTAATTATTAGAGATGAAACGAGAATTCTTTGTGAGTCATTTACGATCCTAGCGGACCCCGGTAATGATTACATCGGTAACGCGGTCGGCCCATGGCGCGTCATCAAGGCCCGATGTTTCCGGTACAAATTTTCGTGTCTAAAATTAAGACATAAATTACCTTAAGGCCGCTAATGAAAAAAGAAGTAAGCCGTAACACCGCATATAACGCGCTAGTCACGCTTTGCATTCATTTTGTAATGTGTCGCTTTAACGAATGACATATTTTTTTATTCGGTCGATTATGCTGGTAGTTACGCTTTTTGTTATGCCCATACTAGAACGGGTAGGGACATGTTGATGCATTAATATAAGCGAGACACAGGGACAACTTATGGGACCTCATACGATTGAATTTGTTTATTATATATGCTTTTATAATCATTCTGTAGACTAATTAACCTGAAAAACTTTACAGTCATATTACTCTACAGTCTTATACAGTCAAATTCATATTTAAACGAGATAATTTTTGTTACTGCTTATAATTTTTGTTACTATAAGGAAAAATACGATGGAAACACCATAAAACATTCATTATTCCCAATGCTCGTTAAAATCATTTATGTGTGTAATATTTGTAACAAAAAATAATTCCGGAAAGCTACGTGAATTTCACATATTTTCGTAGTTATAATATAAATATACACACATAGTTAGACTAGATAGTTGTAAACAAATATTTCTGATACATACTTTAATAATTGTATACTGATACAAATGTTTGTAATAATACCATGATTAAAAATAACTAGCCTATTATGGAACCCTCCTGCCTTCATGTGCAGGACGAACCAAGTTTTTAATTTCAATGGGTTTCGGAACCTTTACAGATTTCCGTGATTTATGATGAAATTGTTACAGTGCAACATGTTTATATGGTTTATCTAGCATGCTTAATTCGACAAATATGCGATATGAAATTTCGAGATGTCGATTAATGCTTATAATCCCTATGGCTTTAAAAACTTCACCCAATCTCTCTAAGGTAACGGTTAGAGCTACGTTGTCATACGTAAGGGGTCCCTTCTGTTCGTCAGATTATTGAATTCTAGCCCCTTCGTCATTGTGCGCCCACCCGCTGTGCTACTATATGAACACTTATATTTATTTACATTCGGTTCATTTAACAGCACACTCGAGTGTGTCCAAGCCCTCGACTTGTACGCGCAAATATAATACGTCAATACATAAAAAATTAAATGCAAAAAATATTTTGGGAATAATCTCTCTTGACGCATACGATGCCACAAGTAATATATAACACTTATCTTACTTTTGTTCTGGTAGCTATAATTGAAATAGCCAAAGAATAACGAATCTTTAAGCTCACGAAGATTGTGCAGTTCGGTCTGCAGACAGCGTAGATCAAAATTAGAGTATGTTGGGAATTTGCTGAAATACATATAACAATTAGTCCCTTAGCTTGCTTTCTGACCTATTTTGTTTTATTTTATTAAGAATAAAGTGAAGAAGTTATATGAAATCTTAGTGTAAAATTCTTCACTTTATTACAAACTAACGACCCGCCCTGGTTTCACACGGATGATAACTATCATTTTCAATGTATTTTGTAGTGTGTGCAATAAAGAATATTTATTCATTCATTCATTTGATCTATCTTGTAAAGTTTAGCCAGCACTTGCAATGTTGCTTACATTAGAGAAAAATATGTTTATTACGACACCACTTTACAAATCGAATTGACTTGTCTCAACTATAATAATATTATGCAGTTACCTACGTAGTAAACGTTCCTTTACGCCATTGGTTGCCTGGAAGAGATCGCTATGAAGCGATAAGACCGCCAAATTGTGCATTCCATTAATTTGTTTATCTATTGTTAATTTCGTGTAATATTTATGTATGGTGGACAGTAAAGTATTCATTCATTCAGTATACTACATATTAACTTTCCTCTTGAATCACTGTACATATTGCAGAAAACTGAATTAAAATCCGTTGGGTAGTTTAAAAGATATACGTGCACAAACAGTGGGGGCTACTTTGTTTTACTTATACTCTGTAAATAAAGATGAACTGAAAGAGTTATATAATGAAATATGTTACTTAATTTTAATTTACAATATTACTAGCTTTTACGCGCGGCTTCGCTTGCGTTGAAGCCCTTAAATAAATATCCTTTTTTAATAAAAAGAATCCTATATGCTTTATAATACCTCTAAGAGTATATATACAGTTTCATGATAACCGGTTGAGTAGTTTTGGCGTAGGTCTGGCGTTAAAAAGCGTAACAAACAAACTTACATTCACATTTATAATATTATTAGCAAAGTAGAGGTTGTAACCATAACAGAATAAACAAAAAATATTTCTGCTACTCTATGCACAGTTTTTAATCTAAACAGACTACTTTCTCTATTAAGTAAATTTTCCAAATCACTAAATAATGTCATGACAACTAAAATTTGTAAACGAAAAGCAAAGTGAAAAGTGGACAAAAAAGTAGTCTAACGTCCCTGTATTTCGACAACGTATAACAGACGCCATTTCCAACGTAGCCATGAAAGAGAAAAACAATCCTCCAAAATCAATAACGGAAAAGCTTCAGTCGGCGTGGAGGGCGTCGCGACGCCACGCCCGAATTGCCAACATGGCCGCCATCGCTTCGCGTTCATCTTTCTCTGATATTTCCCCACTTGCATTAAATCGAAATTCAATGTTCTAAAAATTTATTGTTTAAGAAAGAAAATTAAACCGAGTACTTACATTACCGAGTACGTACGTAAACCAAACCAGCAGCAGTTTAATGTTTACTGTAATATGGTTTAAAATAAGAACCAGTTTTTATAATTTAAAATTTCACTCATAATATTTAATTTTACAAACAACTAAAATTTTACAACGAAAAGTAAATGAAATTATAAATATATATAAACATACATCCTTGCATTTCATGAAAATGCATAATCAGTTTAAAAAAAAAATAACAAAAATAAATTTTGATTATAAAAAATTTGATCCGTTATAACGACTGATTATAAGTTATACTTGTTACGGATTTAATTATTTATTTGTTTTGTTTAATCATCACGAAATTAAAAAAAAACTTCTGTCGGTTTAATAAACTATATAGTTTTAGTAAAATACAGACAGTAGACAATCATATTCTCTGAAGACTTTTGGACCATCATAATAAGTTATTTATTAAATTGCATCCTTGCCGAACACCGAACACTGAGTCAATTATGTCTGTGTGAGGTGGACGTCGGAACAAAGCAAGCACGCGATCTGAATTTCCTCGCTTACCTTATGTCGCTTTACTTTTTCTATAATTATAATGTGAAGCGTTACATACCTATCGTTGAAAACTTGAAAAAAAAAAGAAATTATCGTACAAAACATTCATTTAAATAAATGTGTGTTACCTACTATATTTGTTTTAATACACGAGTAAATTGTAACAAACATTGAAATAGTAATGTATTTCATGTAGCTTAACGAACAACCTAGTAGATGTTATTTGGACTATGTTGGACCAAATATATAACAATCTGTGTACCATTGCAATTAAATGCGTGAAGATGAAATTATTTAAACTAAAATGAAGGATAATGGGTTCCTAGTCTACCTTGCATCAAAAACCAAATACAAACATTTGATGCAAATGTTTGAGGACCACCTAATATGTCTGTACATAAATTTCAAGAATAGCTTAATCTTTCACCTTTATGCTCCTTAATGTTCAACATGTGACTGATGGGTACATTTTTCTTCCGTGCCGGAGCGTGCCACCTACAGTTTTTTTTTGTCTTTATTTTTTGTTTCAAATTCGGAGAAAGGTTCATTCATTTCGAATCTAACGTTGTCCTTTTTGTCATCAGGTACATATTGTGTCCCGATTTATAATGAATGGAGTTTGCGTCCGATGGCGCGGCTCTATCGATCTGGAGAAGCTCGAGGGCATCGGCTGTCTGGAACTTGACGAGGAGAGGGCGGCCATTGAAGATGCCGCACTAAGGGACCAAATCGAACGCTACAACCAGAGGCTGCGCGATTTCGAGGACAAGCAACGGGCTTATCGCGAACACGGGGAGGAGTTGCGCGCGCACTCCCACGTACACGCGCAACGCTGCCACCAGACGCGTCAGCCTCCCCACGCCGCGCACCCTTCTCATCCCCATCCAACTCACCCCGTCCACATCAAGCCTCACTCTCAAGGCGCCCTTATTTCTTAAAAGCAGCCATAACAAGGGACGGGTTTATTCATTTCGATTAATTGTAGCGAGTTGACAAGATTAAGCGTTGATGTCTTTTAAAAAAGTAAGTAACAGCAATTATTTCTTATACTTATTCTACTCGGCGCGTCCTATATTTTAATGTAAAGTTTGAATGTTATATTAAATAATTTTACTAATGGATAAGCCAATTATGTTCGCCAAATAGTCATACCTAAGAAACTGCGTCTGCCGTACGTACATCTGTCGCCTACTCATAAACGATTAAATCCCAATTTAAATATAGGAATATAACTTATCAACTGTGTAGATCATCTTATTTCATTACATATTTAGATTTTATCTTAACCTTATATAAACAGCAAGAAATCACTGAATCTGCAACACCTCTTTTCTAATTTAAGATCGCTCGCTTGCCTTATAACATCCTGCATTTTAACGTTTTCTAAAAATAAGAGAAAATATTATTATCTATGAACGTTTCTGTAGCTCAAAAGCTTTTGAAAGCCGAATATATAAACATTATATAGGAACCCATTGGATCCTAATTTTGTTTTGCCGTTAAGAAGTTAAGAGAATTTGCAGTATAAACAATAAATTAAGCCCGTCTCTATATAACAGTTGGATATGGTCAGTTATTTTTTCCCACGGAGACGAATGATAAAAATACTAAAGGTTCATACATAAATGATAAAGAAACCGCAAACGTTGATAAAAAACCACAAATACTAAAAATGCAATAGATGTTATATTATATATTATTTACAAATAACTTTCGAAATGACTTCTCCATATTAGCAAGTTATTGTTAGATAATTTAGTAATAAAGACACTGTAACCTGTAAACTGTACGTTTAAATCTTAATATAGATACAAAAAATGTCAATATTTCAACATTCCCCTAAGAAGTTTTTGATCTGACTTCTACTATTTTTAATATAACATATATAGGAAGTCTTCAGCGGTGCCGCAGCAAAAGTGACTTTTACTTTCATATATCATTCGCTACAGAACTCTTAAAAATAGTTATTTCAACAATTAATAGTATAGTTGCGTCAGCTATTTTGTATAATTAAGCAACAAGTAATCAGCTTAATACCATTAGGTTCATTAAAAAATAATTAAAGGTGCAATAATGAAGGAAAAGCAAATGGTCATCTAGAATTATGAGCAATTATATTGCTTAATATGTCCCGCACTATGGGACTAAACGGTGCATTCCATCTCAAAAATTTATAACTTTTTGTTTTTTGACACGTAAATGGTTATTTTATATACCTACGTATTCATGAATACTTATGCTATTCGATAATTAAAACACCGCTACTTTTTACTTAATAAAGCTACATTTGCTTAGTAAAAAATGACGAATATAATTCCGAAAAGTTTAAATTAAATTAAAAATTAATAATAAGTTCATAACTTCGTAATAATATCATAATAAACTACCAAAAATCCTAATACAAAATTATTATAAAAAAAATATTCTACTTGTCAATCCTTAAAGCTCTCTTTAGCTTCGTTATTTAATTTTTTGGTATCACAGTACTTAATCTATTATAAGTAAACTCGTAGGGATCAGAAGTATAGAACAGTTTTCTACCGTGACTATGTGCAATTCTTTTTTTCTTCTTTAATTTTTTTTCCCTAGAGTTGATGTAGTCCATTTTTCCAAACTAAATTAAAAGAATTTTCATTTTTAACTGTTGCAAATTCTTTTCCTGACTAATATCTGTCTCGGATCCTCAACAGTACATTCTCTCCAGTATAGTCTTGGTTAACACTTGCGTACTTTCCCGTCAATGATAGTCATGAACAGCTCATTTCTTTTTCCTAAAATATTAGTACCTTCCATAGCTGAAAGCATTGTCGTCGCAGCAGTTATTTCACCAATCTTGGCTTCGAGGTGAGTTTCAACTGCTCTGGCTTTTGGAGGAACTTCTTTCGCTAACTCATGAGAAATGAGTCTGCAATATATAACTTCCGAGTATGTCGGATTTGCTATAAAACTGTTTTTCTTTCTTCATCTACTAGTTTCAATGGTATAAGTGAGACTATTAACATTTTGCGTCCGATATGTGTTCATTGTTTCAGATAAAACGTTTTTATAGTAGCTTTGTCCCGTGTATTCGTTACAACCCCATTTGTTTAGGATGAGCATACAGCCTAAGATGAACATTTTATGCACCGAGTCTATAATTATAATACGAAAGGCAGTTAGATCTGAGCGACCTTGAAAATGAACTTTGGTATTTATTTTGTTATGATTATGCTCGTCGTCAGAAGAACGCAATCCTTCTTTGCTTAAGCCAAAGTTTTATATGATGGAACTACAGAAAATAAGTTTTTCTCAACAAAACTCGGGTTTAGGTAAGAATATGGAATTTGGAACAAATGGTAATATCTTGATTTGAACTTCTATAATGAATAACTTAAGTAACGTAAACATTTATATACATTAAACGCGTTTTTTACATTATAAGAACAAAAAGCGCTCTATCTTCTAATAATATAAAATAATGATATGGTTTTAATACCAAGACTTTCCTAAATTTTTGAGATAAAATGCATTGTTTGGTCACATAGTATCTAAGACTTCTACTTGACTGAAGTGTTTTTTATTACCATTTTATAAGACCGGTAAAACTCAAGAACGGAATTTCTTTTCATTTGTGTCTATCAAGAAATATTGCGTGCTTATATAAATACCATGTCAATGGTTTTTTTCAATACCATTAGGATTTATGTTTTTGTTTAAATTGCGAAATTCATGTTATTTATTTATAAGGTCAAATTATATGTAACAAAAGCAGATTAACAACTTTGTGATAGCTGTAAATAAATGTTTAGTTATTATTCGTATGCTGCTTATTTTTATTTCATCCTTTCAGTACTCTCACGAAGTTCTCTGAAGCTGTGTAAATAATCCTGGAATTGCTACCAATTACTTTTTGTATTATCTTTTGCCTCATGCACTAACTCTCTAGTTTGACCATAGGCATTAATAACTTAAAACCAACACAAAACCTCAGAAACTATCGATATCGCTAAAATATAGTCATGTTTCAAGGTATTTACTAACGTGAGGAAAATGCTTTTTTGTGAGAAGGTGGCAAACGAGCTGGCGGTTCACCTGGTGTTAAGTGATAACCGCCACACATTGACATTTGAAACTCCCATAGGGTTAGGCTACCTTACTCACCAGAAGAAACGTCGAAGTATAACACTTCCACTTCACGCTGGTTTTCTGAGAGGGCGTGGTACTTACCTGAACGGACCTGCCCATTCATGCAACAGCGAAGGCCGTTGCGTGTCTCCACCACAGTAATCATGTACGCATGACCCGTGTTCATCGGGGCAAGGTCGGCTAATATCGGACTCACACCGACAAATCCCTAACGATGTTCCACCCAGAGCACATACTGGGCAGCGAGCATACTGAAAACGGGTACGTTTCCATATACTTCCGCGCTGCCACATACTAATAGCACGTACTTATTATTACAACCGACTCCCCACTGGTAGCTGCGAGGGCCACTTTAGAAAAGCAGCAAACATCCCAACACCTAGGGGGTGGACATGGTTTCTGGTTCCGCCGCTCGCCACGACATGGTGCATGCTCATACTCCTCATCCCCTGCGGCCCCACCTCGACCACTCGAATTGAGAAACCTCCCCTTTTTTTGGAGTCGGTTAATAAAACGATGCCGATAAAATTGGAATTTGGAATTTATTTTGTACTGTAACAAAATATTATCACATACGTGCAGACTTAGCCTTAAGTTTACATTTCCATTACATGTTTTTGTTCCCATTAAAATAAAACAAAATCAATATGTTTATCCTCTACGATGCGCTTACAGGTCATGATGTACATTTTGATATTATGTACAATTTTTTGTTAGCTTACTGAGACTACTATTATTAATTATGTGAGTTAAATTATGTTATGCTGATGGCAGTACGTTATTATTTTGTAACGGTTAAATTAAGCAAGAATATCTTAATCCCTACTTGCATTTACGCTTTAATAAATCAAACTAATTTATATAACATTTAATTACGTTGAATTTGAATCTAAATTACTGAATGCAACCTAAATGCAATTTAAAATAATAAAACTGCAATTAAATATATATGTCATAACGAAAAATTCAAACACTGCCAAGTACCCGAAACGTCGTAAATATAAATTTTAAAAAGGCCTCTATTTATATAAAAGCATCGTTTTATATTGAGCAGATCAGCCAGTTACATATACCTCGATAATCAACGTCATTCGCGAGCACACCGTCTCGATCTGACAGGGCGGGCGCACGCTATTGCAATTATACCCAATTACTCGACCGTCACATGGTGGAGCGGGACTGCACGCGCGGCGCACCTGTGCTGCGCCCGCGCAACCCCTCTTTATTACACACAATTTAGTCAAGGAAGCGTTCACATTCACGCTCGATCGACTGGTGAATAATTGCCAGTCCTTGCTACGCCCTGAACACGATTTTATTACCGCTTTACAAGGGGGGAGTGGATCGATAATTACTCGTAGGTGATATGATGATCACTTGGTAATCCTTCTTTATAACTTAATTAAATCATTAAGTTGACTTTTATTTTAACACTATTGTATAAAATGTTCCTTACACATACAAGTAGTATAGTCTTGTTTGTTTATAGTTTTCATTGTGGCCACGCATTGGCATTGGCTTCACAGAGGTCCAACGTGAAGTTGAAATGTCATACTTTCGCGTTTCTTCTGGAGAGAGTTTACTGGGACCGCGTGCAACAAAGACGTAAGAGCTCGTTTCTCGATTTTAACGAAAAAGTTTCTCGATTTATAACGAACAAAATGAGCCCGATGTACGGTGACTTGCTCACTACCATGACATGTTTAGATATTATAATATAATGTATGCTATCATGCTCTTGTGAGCTTGTTTTATTTAATTTACATTGCTTTAATTGAATTACATTAATTTTTATTTAGATACCTTACCG